TTGTAGAATAGATGGACAGGATTGCACTGTATAGCACAGGGAAATATACACAAAATGTTATGATAAATCACAGAGAAGAAAAAATATATATATAGATAAGCAGCTCATACGACTCAATAAGAAAAAAATAAACAACCCAATCCAAAAATGGGCAGAAGACTTAAACAAGCAATTCTCCAAGGAAGACATACAAATGATCAAAAAGCACATGAAAAAATGCTCAATATCACTAATTATCAGAGAAATGCAAATCAAAACTACAATGAGGTATCACCTCACACCAGTCAGAATGGCCGTCAATCAAAAATCCACAAATGACAAATGCTGGAAAGGCTGTGGAGAAAGGGGAACCCTCCTACACTGCTGGTGGGAATGCAGTTTGGTGCAGCCACTGTGGAAAACAATGTGGAGATTCCTCAAAAGACTAGGAATAGACTTACCATATGACCCAGGAATCCCACCCCTGGGCTTGTATCCAGAAGGAAATCTACTTCAGGATGACACCTGCACCCCAATGTTCATAGCAGCACTATTTACAATAGCCAAGACATGGAAACAGCCTAAATGTCCATCAACAGGTGACTGGATAAAGAATATGTGGTATATTTATACAATGGAATACTACTCAGCCACAAAAACCGACAACATAATGCCATTTGCAGCAATATGGATGCTCCTAGAGAATGTCATTCTAAGTAAAGTAAGCCAGAAAGAGAAAGTGTCTTCCAGTTATTTCTAGACGTCCCCAGGTGATATTCCACACAAACTTAAGAACCAGTCCATTCTAGTTTTATTCTTTAATTCAACAAAGATTTATTGAATGACTATTATGTGCAAGACTCTGGGGACACAATGATAAAGTATCCCTACCTCCAAGAAGGGGTAACCATGGAGAGACACTCAACAGCACATAGAATTTTCTCCAAGATGTTCACTTCCTGAAAGCCTTTAAAGGAGGGTCCTAGCCATTACTACTGTCTTTGTGAAATAACTAGCTGCCACAGCCAACACAGAAAGGCTTCCTTGCTGTTCTGCCACATTGCAGTAGTACTGAGGCTAATCTGAACAGATGTGGGAGATCTTTCTCCATCTCCTTTCATGCTTCTTCACAGGGGCTCTAAATTGCTTATGTCCTCAAACTCACAAGATCCTTCATCAGCATTAATCCCTCCAATTTCTACTTCAGGCCACCTGGAAAATAAATATGATCTCCCTTCTACATTCACCTCCTTTTCATAACCACTGTGATACACTTACGCCACCACCTGTGAACCTATGCATACAGATATCTGGGCTAGGTGTCATCTACACATGCACACATTTTTTTTCAGTAAAACTGAGCATGACAGCCCACTGCATGAGATGTAATCAATTAGCAGAGGTGAAAGAAAAACCTATTTCTCTTTTGATTTTTAACTTTAATATGTGTAAAGTTTAGTGTTTCTTAAAGAAATATTCTGTCAGAAGGCTGTTCATTTTAACATAAGGCATGGTGCATGTTTCACACACGTATCTATAGTTAGGTATTTTAATTTAAAAAAATTTTAATAGCTGGTCTGGATTCTAAATTTTATCACTTGAATACTTCAAATCAGTCAGAATTCAATTATGGAAGTTACTAAAGACAAAATGTTCAGGAAAAATACTACATCAATAGCAGAATTCCAGAAATGCTGTTGTATTAGAGCTTTCCAGCTTTCATGTATAGATTACTTCAATCATAGTCTTTATTAATGCTCTCCTTTCTTCTGTCTCTGAGCATGAAACTAATTTATTCAGTTGCCTTACTGACTCCCAAAAACAATATAAACAACATGAAGACATATCATGTTGTGTCCTCATCTCACACAACTGCTTTAATAATGAGCAGAAACGGGCTTTGCATAAGTGGGATGTGAGTAATCCTTTAGCGTCTCTAATACCCAAAGCAGTGCAGAGGCAGAAATGGAGGTTTGCCTTCTTTTCACACAGCTTTAGTTATAGTCTAAAGATTAGCTGCAGAACAACTCCAAATCACACAATCACAGTATATTTTAAATCAGCTTTATTAATGTATAATTTACATATAATGAAATCTACCCATTTTAATTGTACAGTTTGATGAATTTTGACAAACATGTACAGTTGTATACATGCCATCACAATCAAGATATAGAACATTTCCATTAATCCAAAAAGTTTCCTCATGCACTTCTGCAGTCAATCCTTTCTGCTCACCCCTGACCCCTAGTAACCACTCTTCTTTCTTTCACTTAGCATAATGCATTTGACATTCCTCCATGTTGTTACACTTATCAGTAACTAGTTCTTTTTTATGGCCAAGTAGTACTCCAATTTTCAGATATATCACAATTTGGTTAGCCTTTCACCAGTTGACAGACGTAGGATTGTTTCCATTTGGGGGCTATTATGAACAAAACTACTGTGAGCATTTGTGTACAGACCTTTGTGTGGACATATATTTTCATTTCTTCTAGGTAAATACCTAGAAACGGGATTGGTGGGTCATATAATTTTCCAAAGTGGCTATAATATTTTCATTGAAGTATAGTTGAGGTACAGGTGTGCAATATAGTGATTCACAATTTTAAAGGTTACACTCCATTTATAGTTTATAGTTATTATAAAATACTGGCTGTATTTCCTCTGTTGTATAATATATCCTTGTAGCTTATTTTATAGCTAATAATTTGTACCTCTTACTCCCCTACCCTATCTTGCCCCTACCCACTTCCCTCTCCCCATTGGTAACCACTAGTTTGTTCTCTATATCTGTGAGCCTGCTTCCTTTTTGTTATATTCACTAGTTTGTTGTATTTTTTAGATTACACATATAAGTGATATCATGCAGTATTTGTCTTTCTCTGTCTGACTTATTTCACTCAGCATAATACCTTCCAAGTCCATCCATGTGGCTACAAGTGGCAAAATTTCATTCTTTTTTATCCCTAGATACTTTATGTTTTAATGCTAATTTAAATGTTTTTATTTCAATTTTCCATTGCTCATTGTTCACACTGTAGTTTTAAGAAAAAGTTAGAAGCAGTATTCTGAGAAGTAATATGGATTAAAGACAAAAGGAAAAAGTGGCCCTTAATGATAATTCTCCCTAATGAAGAAGAAATTAGAGCAGCAGAATCACTGACTAACAAAAGCAACATGAAAGAATTCTCATTGTTGACTGTTACTCTCACTTTTATATTCAAGCATAGAAATTATTATTTTTTTCATAATGAATGATAATACAAAACATACCCAGAGACCAGTGAAGAAAAGACCCTGGACCTAGGGTCTGGAGGCCTAAACTTGAGTCATCACCTGCATACTGAAAATGCATATAGTCCAAAATAAATAAACCTTGACAAACATTTCCTTCTTCTTCATTTTTTATTTAACTAACATTTGGTGAACATTCACAAAGAGCCAAACACTATTCTAAGTGCCATTAAATGGGACAAATCCTATACTCCATATCGTCAAGAGGTTATAAGGAGAGCTCAAGTAAGAAAGGGTTATATGAAATACTTGGGTAAAGTGAAATATAAATTTAATGTGCTACTATTATTTTGATTATAATTATACCATGAAAATCCTCATTTCTGGGTGTTACTACTTTAATACAGAATACCAAATAAGAAAGTGGCTCTGGAAAAAAAATTAAGTGGATTATAACTAAAGAATCCTAAAATTATTCACTCCATGGCACACCAAAACCCTCTCTCTTCTATTACCCTACAGTTGAATGGTACAAGTACTATGTAAATCCATAGATATGGATGAAGACTGACTTGTCATTTTTAAACCCTGCAAAGGGAAAGACGAGGCTTGAAATTTATGAAACTTTTTCCTTCCAGATGAAGAAGGTAGGCTTATTAATTTCTATTAATAGCAGACCTTCTGCTGACAATTTTTCTATTAGGAATCTGGCAAACTTACAAATATGACAGATGGACTGAGAATTCAGAAGTATGCCAAAAGACTTTATGCAAAGTGATGTGGTCAAAAAATATGCCAGTTTCCCTGGTTATAGATTACTATCCAAATAAAAAGATTAATGTTTTTGGTCATTATACCTTATAAGTTGCTTTAAAAATACTTTTTTGGTAGATACTGACAAGCATATGCAGAATAGATAAACAAGATTATACTGAATAGCACAGGGAAATATATACAAGATCTTGTGGTAGCTCACAGTGAAAAAAAAATGTGACAATGAATATATGTAAGTTCATGTATAACTGAAAAATTGTGCTCTACACTGGAATTTGACACAACACTGTAAAATGACTATAACTCAATAAAAAAAAGTTTAAAAAAAAGAAAAAAGAAAAAAAATTTAATTGACTAACCAATAATTACTCAGGACAAAAGTTTCATATGAAAATTTTAGAAGAAGGTTTACCTTTCCACCCCTTCTTTATTCCCAAGATTCTGCCCTTTTATGGTAATAAAGTAATTTATAATTTTAAAAAAATACTTTTTTGTGCTTTGTATTTTGTATTTTTTTAGGTTTGATTCTCATAAAGGTTTCTGGTGTCAGTTACTGGAAGAAGGTAAAACAAAATGCCTTGGAAAGAGCAAAGGAAGAAAATACCCTCCAATGGATCCTGATGTAAGTACAGAGCTTAAAAATACAAACTAAGTAAGCAGAGTGATAAATAATAATAAATCAAGTTTCTTAGAAAAGTGATCAAAGTAAAAATCCATTCTTTATAAAAATTAAAAGTGACATTTGAATTTGAATGCATCCAGGTTGCTTGTTCGGATTTTTCCAGTGATATATTACCTGTCATGTAAGAATAAAGGAAAACAATAGAATTTGCCATTTTGAGTCAGAACAAAGAAGGCAACATCTCATTCCAAGGAAAATGATACACAGAAATTTTAGCCCTGAAAATGTTAACTGAAACCAAGACAGGAAATACATCAACTGGAAATTAAAAATAGGACCAAAAGATTTTTTTTTCCACTGCCTAAGTCACTCTATAGTAGTAAGGGTGGCCTGCATAACAATATTAACTACTGGTGTGCTAAGCTTGGAACCACTAATAGGCTAATAAGATGAAAGAATGAATATACTTCCCAAATGTTTAACATACTATCAGATAATTTAGGCTCTGGAGAATGGAGAAACCAAACTTTGCAGTAGGTGTCTAGTATCTCATGTTTATTCTGTTCAGAATAGTGACATGGTGATCATTTAATGTTACCATTTTCCCAGTTTGTAAACCCTATTTTGTTTTAGTTTAATGCTTATTTCACATATATTAAAATTTATTAACATTGTTTTGATTTTGTAATCAATCCAGTTGACATACAGTATGGACATAAGAATGCAAGTAGGTTGACTGTGTGAAAAAAAAATTTTAACTCAAGAATTTAAATATTATTTGGCATTGTTTTCCCACAATGTTTAATACATTATGTTAACTAAGAATCCTATAGTGGTCTTAGAATCCTAACATGGTCTGAACTTATCTGAATATTTTTTAATACTTGAAGACTCTGAGGACCTTTTTTTTTTATTCCAGCCTGATAGAGATCGGGCCTGTCCTCACTAAGCTCATAATTAAATTCTATCGAAAAGGCATTGTGTGGGCTCTTCCTGTTGTTTTGATGAACAAATTGCATTCTCAGAACTCCAGTTTTCTTCAGTGGATTATTAAAATATACCTTCAAAGCACTATGAAAACAATTATACATAAATATTCAAGAGTGATTTCCAAAGTCTTTCAACACAGTAATATAAAATATCTTGTTTTCATGTATGTCAAAGCTATTTCTCTATATATTTATTAAAACTAAAACATATAGAAGACACTAGAACATCTTTCGTAGCATTTCACTTTACTCCTATCAAACACAGACATACTGGACATAATACTAAATTTGGTGGTAGAGAAAGATGAGAAAAACATAACTTTTCAGGATATCAGTATTTCCGTACCTCTCAACAACGTAATACATTCCTATGATGTTTTTTCTCAAATATCTCTGACACCAAACGTGTGGGTTTTCTATAATTTTTTGCAGACACCAACTAGCTGTCCTACAATTTAATTCAGTTCTGACACTAACTACCCAGGGTTAGCAAAGTCCCCACAGGTTGAGGGCTCAGTCCCATAAAAATGCCCCCCTTCAGACTCCAGTAGCAAGTAGTAGGTTCCCAGGTTACTCATACTTCTGTCCAGCTTGGCTACAAACCAGGGGTGCCCACAACCCCCACTTTAGGTTTCATAATTTGCTATAACCATCTATACAATACAAGGAAACACATCACTTCCTATTATTATAAATGAAGGTACATAGGACAAGGTCCAGAAGGGTCCTGAGCACAGGAGTCTGGGGTGTACCATCCTCCCAGCAGACGGATGCATTTACCAATCCTGAGGCATCACAGAGGTTCCATCACATAGGCATGCTTGATTCAGCAATTGGCCATAGGTGATTAACTCAAACCCCAGGCCCTTCCCCTTCCCCAGAAGTCAGAGGGTGGGGCTGAAAGTTCCAACCTTCTAATTACATGTTTGGTTCCTCTAGCAACCAGCCCCTATATGAAGCTATCTAGGGGCCCATAAGAGTCACCTCATGA